TTTGCTTCAAGTATTCTTGCGCCCCGTGACTGAACTAACAATCTTTGCATATTTGCAGTCTCACAAGAGTTTCCTTTCTGATTTTAATATTCGATTTTAAAAACAATTTGCAGTTCATTAAAACGTGATTTTGTTGCACAGTGAACAGTTTTGGCGATCTTATATGATTTTGTCCACCTTCTAGACTTCTTAAATGTCGTTGACTTATGTTGCGCTTGAGGTACATTCGATTTCTGAGAATTCTGTTTGTTTTACAGCTTCGAATGCCATAAACTTGGCTTCCAAAAAGTTAAAAAACTCCCGGAGGTTACGTAGTTCCCTCGGGCTCCCTAAGTCATCTATGTAGTCTCCATATGAAGTTTGGGCAGTATAAATGAACGATAAATGGGTCCCAAGTTTCTGTAATCACACCAAAGTTATGTAATCCATTCAAGTACTCTAATAGCTTTTTAATGTCATGTGCCGATAGTTGTTGAATGGACGGTACATTGAGGAGTGCGTTAATGTAAGAGGAGAACAGTAATCAGGCGTGTCACTTTGTAAAAATCTGAGGTATGGAAAATGGTGGCGCGATTTTCAAATTTGTTCGCATTACTCGTGGGGTATTAAGGTTTAAGAGTTTGCAGTGTATATACTCAACTTATTTATTGAACTATAAGATGTGGGGTATTGAGGTTTAAGGGCTTGCGATTTATTTATATGGGGTTTGTAGTAATATGCGATTTATTTCCTAATTTCAGCTATGGAATTCCATACCTTGAAAAACTTGAGGTATGGAGTGCTCCATACCTTCCATAGTGGAAGTGACACCCCTGACAGTAATCGCTTATTTTCATAGCGATGTTCTATGATGTTCCACGCAGACTCAGAGTAGTTGTCAGTGCTGATGGTGAAGTGCTGAATTATTTTTTCTGCTTTGAGTTTTCCTTTCACGTGCTGCATATTTTTTTACTTTGATCCCATATAAATTTGATCAAGGTCTGACCAATAGTTTTTGAGTTAATCTTAATCATTTATATTGAAGTCAGTTGTACAAAATTTTTAATTTTTAATTATTACAGTGTGGAATTTCTCTTCCCACCGATTATCCTGTTCTTTGTATTTGGCTTCATTGAGCACCTTTTAGTTCAAAGTCTAACTCGCAATGATTGTTGTAAATACTTTCGCACTTACTTTTCAGTACGTTCAGGTTATCTTCGAGTTCCCACTATTCAGTCGTGTTGTCTAACTTAATCTATTATTCGTTCAAAAGCGTTTAAGTTAAACATTTGTTTTCCCAATAGCTTTGTATGTTCTGAGCTTAGTAGTTTTGGACAGGCTTATTTGTCACGGGATTCGGCTGCTCTTAAGATGTGCTAGGCTTCATCAGTAGTTTAAGCCATGTAGTTTGCATGTCGTGCTTAGTAGAGTCGTGCATAGTTTTTGTACGCTGATAAATGTTTTCTTTAAATTTCTTATCGTCACTCTTTTCAGTTTTAATAAAAACTTTGTGGTTGCTTTCAAACTCATCCTAATGAGCTTACAGGGCCTCAAGACGCGTCAACAGAGAGTCTGATGTCTTCCACGACTCCCCATCCTTACGATAGTTTACTAGTCGCTTGATGTTTTCGAAGAAGTGTTGTTGCCTTTCTAGAAGTTTTTCTAGCAGTTCTTGACCCATCTCTTCTAAGTTAGGTCGTATACAGAAAGAAAGCTGGCAGCCTATCAGCGCTTATAGGGACCGGTTCACGCTAGTAACCGGCGCAGGCATTTATATGACCAGGCGCCAATAAGCGCCGAACGTCGCCGACAAGTTCCGACAATCTTCGACACGCGCCGGTCAGCGCTGGCGCCGCCCGCCATTTAAAATTAATGAACAACTATATGACAACATGTACAACTACTACACGCACATATTTTTGTTAAATAGAGAAATTAATAGTGACGTGTTGATTGTACTGAAGACGGCATATCAAGGGTAACACTTAGATACTTTTTTAAATCACTCTTATCTATACAAATAAATAAAATGGAAGTGTCTGTTTGTAATATCAAAATTACAATGTTTTACTAAATGAATATGAAAGTATATAAACAGTACCCATAACAAAAATACACTTTTTAAAATTTTTGTCTGTCTGTCTGTTTGTTCCGGCTAAACTCCGAAACGGCTGGACCGATTTTGACGGGACTTTCACTGGCAGATGGCTGATGTCATAAGGAGTAACTTAGGCTACTTTTATTTTAGTAAAATAATTAGGGTTCCTCGCTAAAAAATTAAAACCCTAAATTACACGCGGGCAAAGTCGCGGGGAACAGCTAGTTATAAAATAATAATATCGGTACAAATCTCAAAGTGTTACGCTTGATCTGCTGTTGACTGTACAAGTGTATATTTAAACCACGTTAAAACATTTTAAATTCATGAAATCATCAAATTTCAATTGTTTTACAAATAAATATGGTATTCTTCGAAACGATTCCTTTCTCTATTAATAGGATGTATAACTTATTTTGGCATTTTAAAATACACATTTTCTAACAAAACTAATTCATCGTCCGACGAATACGACATTTTGCTCGCTCTGCTTCAATGGGCTTCCTTTATATAACTGTTACCAGAATAGACCAGCGCCGACAAGCGCCGGTAGATCGGCGCCGCCTACCAGCTTTCTTTCTGTATACGGCCTTACGTCTGGATGTAGATGCCATGTTGACAAGTTATATTACCGTAGATCGCAGGTTAAGAAGATATAAATTTGATCCGAAGGCCGCCACGTCTTATAATTAACATTTGAATGAACAAAAAGACCAAAAATTTTACTCCCGATGGACCAAAAAAGAATGTACGGGTCATCGTTTGCGACTCATACAGTTTCTTTATAGTTTAATTAGTTTATAGCTTGTCTAGTTTAAAGATAGTTTGTGACGATCGTACCTAAGTATGAGTGGCGTATAAAGTAAACACACGTGTTAACACTTTAATAGCTTATTACAAACACTGAGTTTATTTAAAAATGGTGCATTATATGTAATTCGCGGTGCGGTGGTTAGGTATTGGTGGTTGAGAAAGTAGAGTATGAACATGTTAATTGTAACTTAAACTTTAGTAAGCTTAACTTAACTTCGCTTAAGGAAGGAGAAGGTATCTCTTACTTGGAAATCTGCATTTACTACCCCCTTCCATAAAAAAGGCCCAAAGGACCGTGTAGAAAACTATAGGCCAATATCCAAGCTCTTTTTATTCACCAAAATTTTTGAGAAAATCGTATACTCGTCTGTATATCATGGCATCAAACAAACACTCAGTGATTATCAACACGGCTTTTTAAAAAGTAGATCCACAGTTTCGAACCTTATTGTATGTTCTAACTATTTAACTATAACATCATGTCTGAGCGCTTACAAGTGGACGTAGTCACTGATTACAGTAAAGCGTTCGACCGATTAGATCACGTTATACTTCTCAGCAAACTACTCGAAGTAGGTATCAGTGGCGATCTGTTTCGGTGGTTTACCACCGAAACAGATCGCCACACAGAAACGATTCTCAATAGAAGACTTAAAAGTCTTCTATTGAGAATCGTTTTCAGACAATAGTACTCAATGGTTATACGTCAGCAACTGTGCAAATCCCTTCAGGTATACTGCAGGGATCGCTATTAGGTCTATTGATGTTTGCGATTTTTATAAATGATATAGGTTCCTGCTATACTTACTCCAAAATAATCCTTTACGCTGATGACATGAAAATTTTATGTCCCATCACAAATACTTCTGACTGCTTTGGTCTGCAGCGTGATCTCAATGTACTTGAACGACATTGATCATGCAACAAACTTGACTTGAATGTGTCCAAGTGTTTTCTCCTTACTTTTACCCGTAAACCCAATCCCATCGTCTTTCACTACAAATTCCAAGACACTAGTATAGAGAGATTACAATCAGTAAAGGATCTTGGTGTATTTTTCGATTCTAAATTACTCTTTGATGCACATATTGAGAATATCAATAAAAAAGCCAATAGAGCACTTAGATTCGTTTTGAGATTTTCCACCGATTTTCATAATATTAAAACATACAAGATTCTTTATTGCGCTCTTGTTCGCAACCATTTAGAGTACGCCTCTCAAGTGTGGAACCCAAATTATAACATTTATATAGATAGGATTGAGCAAGTACAAAAGCGTTTTCTACGTTTTCTTCAATTTAAAACGCAATTTTACACTGATAACTACATTTCGCGATGTAAAAAAATTCATATTTTGCTTCTGCACGAACGTAGGCGCATAGCAGATACGATTTATCTTTTTAAATTGGCGAATTGTAATGTTGACTGTCTAGAGATTAAGTTAGGATTTACAACAAGAGCCACCCTATTGAGAAAGCCTCGTTTACTCCACGTGCCGCATACCCGGAATAAATACAGGCAAAATTCTTTTATAATGCGTGCATGCAGAACTTTTAATTACATTTCCAATAGCGTTGACTTGGATCTGTTTAATACCAGTGTTTCTCGATTAAAAAATATTTTAGCGATAAAATTCTTTTGTTGAATCTTCTTCTGCTAAATTTTGTTAATTTACTGCATTTGTCTTTAAATCTATGTTTATCTTTTACCGACTAGAATTATTGTTTTTAAGTTCATATTGCTTATAGGTGAAATCTTTTAAATGGCCTTCTAGTTGTTATTGATTTATTTATAGTTAATATTAGCTGTAAGTTTTCCAAAAACAATAAAATAAAATAAAAATAAACATGCATGAACTTTTAAAAAACATAATGCGGACGATTGACTGACGATTACGTAATACCGTGACTAAGCGTTTAATCGCAGCCGATTGATGATTGCAGTAATACATAATATATTATATAGGTTTCGCGTCTTGGGGATTTGACCATTGACAATTTTTTTACTGCAGAAACTATTTTTAGAGGTGTTTGTATAATATCGTAGATGATATTGCAAAAATATTTTTATTTACTTTGTTCTTATAAATACTTTTATTTCTTTATTGTAGCTCTCAGAATTAGACTTCAAATCGTCCTTGGCCATAGCTGGATTTACAGATGAAAAGCAACAAGTTATATTAAAGTTATACATTACAAAAAAGGTAGAGTTATCAAGTGCATTAAATATACTACAGCAAACAGACCTAAGCTATCAAGATTTGACATGGAGGTTTGAAGTACAGGTAAGATTTGACTATTTGACTTGCAGTAATAAAGTCCTTCATCCATATGCGCAGGATAAGATTATAGTGTGCGAATCTCGAACGACCCCCCCCCCCCCCCCCCACTATGGAGTGACGACCTGGTAAGACATGCATGCAGATGGCTCAGGGTCGTACTTTGTGGCATTCCTTGGGGGAGGTCTATGTGAAGAGCTGTAATGATGATGATGATGATGATGCTTACGATCAGTAGACTCACAGTAAAGCAGTCAACGACTTGCAGTACTTAAACGGTAGCAGCTTAAAACTAGTTTATTTTTATTCGAATTTTAAGATCACTTACAGACTTTTATTATGTTGGCTCTCTTACCCTTCTAACTGGTACAACCATGGGTGCAATGCTGCTCGAAATGGAGAGGACGGCAGCAAACAAGATGGATTTCTAGCCAAAACAGGAACCCTGCTTAAATAACCTGTATTTGGGTTGAATAACTTATAACCAGAGTACACATTACGTTTTGTTATGAGAATGGAATTTGTGTGATAAGTCTTCTCGTTAATAAGAGTAGGAAATGCTTAGGCAAGAAAAAATAATTCCTTAATCTGCTATTCTATTGTTTTGCTAACCATGTGTACATTCAGATGTGACATTCAGGTTAAAAAGTGCCTTTGTTTTTTCTTGTCCTTGTATTTTCTTTCTGTGTATAACTAAAAGATATTTAATTATATTTATATACAAAATTAATGATATTTATGTACATATTTTTTTACAGATAGCTTCTCGGAGGTGTAATCGCATGATCAACCCAATGGTTGCTTTAAATTTGGTTGTCACTACACCGAAGAATTTTGGACAAAAAGAAGATCATACATATAGACAGGATGTTTTTATTAAAAAGAATAGAATAACTTCTTTATACACTGATTCTTCTGTACAGAGTGCTAAAACAGCAAGTCAATGTCAAAAAGTTGTTAATCATGTTTTATTGCAATGTGATATACCAAATTTATTACATCTTACAAACAAATTAGAACAAGCCTTAAAAGAATCGAAAAGTCAGCATGTTAGAAAAATTCAAAGGGCTCTATAAAAATATAATTGTTCAATCAAATGTAAACTATGCCTAGCTCATTACTACACTTGTAACATACATTTTATACTAACATTATATAATATAATAGTTTTGATAATGCTGTTTTTTTTTTAATACATATCTCTATACAGGGTTATTTTGCAATAACCGGCCAAATTTGGAGAGAATTCAGAATAAGTGCTACAGGCAAATGTTGAAGAAAAATTAATTTAAAAAAAAACTCAAACATTCTGTCGCTTTTTTCTTTTAAACTCAAAATGCGTGCTAATGCTTTATTTTAACGATTTTACTGCGAAGGCATACATTCGTAAGGGTCGATCGGTAGGCAATAACGTTGTTGCCCATAAATCACATTCAATTTGAAATAATTTCAAATTAAAGGAGACGCCTTATTTACTCATGTTTTCAAAAACGGTATATCATTATTTATATATTTGAACTTAAGTATGAAATTTGGCTATACTGAAAAATAACCCTGTATATAAAAACCAATTACTGTCCACTAGTCTCGCAAAAACTCGAAAATGACTGGACCCAGATTGATGAAATTTTTTGAGTGTGTTTGAGTGAGTATCTGGATGGTTTAGATTACAATTGGACCCGGTAGGTGGCGCTATTGTTGATATCCAGAAATCAACCGTGCGAAGCCAGGACGTATCGCCAGTACATATTACAAATTTGTAATACATTTTCTTAAGTTAATAATTTCTTTCCATACATTAATAACGATTAAACATCGATAAATTGTTCTTGTATTATTCCGTATGTAGTTGTTCGACTAACATGTAATTTACAACAGTGTGCCTATAATAGCGCGATATAGATAGCAATCTATAGACATTTTTTAGATTAAAAGAAATCTCTATTTGAAATACCTCCTTCATACTCAAACAGATGGCGAGTAACATATTTTTTTATTATTTCTTAATAGTCAATCACGCGAAAATTATTGATTGCGCTTTGCCACTTTCTTTTGCTTTTATATTCTGTGGAAGTAGATTAAGCATAAAAGCTCTAGGCTAACATGCGGGATACACAGCATGCGGGGACTCCCTACAAGCGGGATAACGATTAGTGAAATTAGTAGTTCAATAACGCATTCGACAAACGTCTTGCGGGCAGTCCTCGCAGACAGGATAATGACGAATGAAATTCACCAGTCGATATCCAGCACGAGGGAACCTCCCCACGAGCAATGTGGCACTATCTTTTCTCAGCTTCAGTCACGCTTGTTTTGATAGACTCCATACTCTCAAAGCAACTGGATTTGATTTGTGGAAGTTCGCATAATCTGCAAGTTACATATCTCGTCCCCGCATTCCGTATACGTTACCTTCTATCGACCAATGAAAATGAGCCCTAAGTTGATTGCGTTATTGCTTTAGCTCCTCATCGCACCACCATACTGTGCTAAAACACGCAGTCTTGTGTCAAGTTAAGAAGTTAACGACAGCGAAACGCCACTGTTCGTGATCTGCGCATCGAATCGCTTGTACAGTGGCCAAAGTAAATATACACAATAGTTAGTTATCAGGGCTTGATGCAAATTCAAAGATGTTTTATAGGTCCAGATACCGTGTACGCGCGCCTAAAACGCTTCCATTTCAAAGGCGCCAATATTGGCGTATTCGTTCGATCGTTCCGCCATTACGCCAGCGACGTTCGCTGTGAACATACGTCACGCACCGGAGTTTTTAATTTCGCAAAATGACTGTTGTGCTGTGAAATCATTTAAAAATCACTCTTGAAAAACAGATAAGGATAAGAACATCACTTTTCATAAGTAACTATACAATTTGGTGGTGTATTTCTTTGTAAAAGAATACGAAAGCTAAATGTCAATACAAGTAATAATACTGCGCAATAATATTCGAGTGTTGCCTAGTCTATGAAATGTTTTTACCATTTTTTAACGTCATGATCAACCACAAAGGTTATCTGTATAGGGGTTTTAACCCTTAAATGCATAGAATATTTATGATTATGAATTTAAAAATAAAAAAATTATGCATGATGCAGAAAAAGTTTCTTTATATATAAAAAAATGTTAAAATAGTTGTAGTAATTTATTTTTTCATATAATATATTATATATCATGCGATGGATTTTTCCATCACTATGCACTTACAGTTAATATACCTATAGGTAATTGCCATATTTGATATTAGGTAGTGTGAAACCTAGTAAAACAGTTATTATTTTTGTTTAGGCATAAATTTATGCCACATTTGGCACAGCTTATGGTGGTGTATCCTGTACAATGTGGATACTTACAACGAAGCGACACACCAACATCTGGCCAGTGCCCTAGACCATCCATCCGTATATCCAATGGAGGGATTGGTTTTGATTGTAACCTCTTCTTCTTAGCTTGCAACTCCTGCTCCAGGCTGGAAGAGCTAGGCCGACCTCTTTTATTTTCGTTTGTGCCTGAGTTACATAAAACATAGGCCAGCTCGTTTCTGAACTCACCTAAGTTTAAAATGTTCTTTTTTGCAACATTTTCTTTTATTGCATTATTTTTATATATAATCCAGGAGTTGATAACAGCCAGATCAAACAAATGGAAAAATATACGAATATACCATTTACGAGATTTTACTCTTATGTGATATCTACCCAAGAAACTATCTAACAAGTCAACACCCCCCATATGACTGTTATATTCTGTAATGGACTTTGGACACAATATATCAACTCTTTCCCTCGTCTTTTTATCAAACCTTTTGACGGTTGAAACAGGCTCTGTTCCTACGTAACTTTATAACATAGTCACTATTTTATTGTCCTTCCATGCTATGCAAGCTAAATCAACTCCCTCATATGACGCTGTTCTTTCTTCATAAGTACCCCTAGGGGTATTTTTTTTCATCATCTCTTTTTTGTCTGGTAGCTTGTTATTAGGAATTCTGTTTTGTTGAATTGTGCCAAGGCAATGTATTCCTTGCTTAGCCAAATAGATAACTAATGGCACAGATGTATAGAAATTATCAAAGAAGATAATATGGTTGACCATTCGTGGAACATCTCTGGTTAAGCGAAGCACAATGTTATTTGTAGAACCTAAGTCAGGCTCACCTTCAGGTCTTGTCGAAATGTCTTGGCCAGAATAAATTTCAAATTTGTAGGCAAATCCAAAAACACTACATAAAACATACAACTTAAATCCCCACTTATGGGGCTTATTTGGTAGATATTGTTTTAGATAATGTCCCACTTTGGTGGCACACATTTGTTCATCAATTGATAGTCTTTGATGTTTTTTTACACTGGAAAAGGTTTGATTTAGACTATCAATAATTGGTCTCACCTTATATAAGCGGTCATGTCCTGGTTGGTTAACTGGTATATATTTGTCATTATCATTGAAATGGATATATTTTTTGATCTTTTCAAATGTATTCACATTCATAGTTTGCTTTATAGGTTCAAATCCAAAACGCCTTGACCAGTACTTGCGTGTGCTGGGGAAATGCTGAACAGACATGTAAAGCAGAATGCCTAAAAACTTTTTCAGGTCAAATTAAATCTATTTTCAGGATTTAATTGGGTGGCATATAGATTAGTTTCTGATATTATTTTGTTACAAAGTTCAGTTGTAAAAAAGTAGTTAAAGCATTGATATGGTGTTTTTAGGGCTGTTATTTCAGTACCTAGATCAGTGCTTCCTTCAAATTCAACATTTGACTCAGAAAACTGAAGTGTACTCTTCTTCCAAATCAGCTTCCTCTTGTCTAACACCCAAGTCGAACAAGCAGAGTTTTCTCCTGCTTTAGATGCCACAGTTTCTTGAATCAGAGGGGGATCATGCACATCAACTTGTTCTTCATGTAAAGTAGGTTCATTTTCCAGATTATCATCATCCTCTACGTCTTGCAGCGGTTCATTTCTATTGGTGTAAAAGATACTTTCCTCATTATCTTCCGTATCAGACATTTCCATGCCATCTTCTGACAGATATCCTCCTTCCAGAGCAGACAAGTACTCTTCAATGTCTCTATCATTGATTATTCTTGATCTTGGAAAAGACATTTTTGCTGAAATATTACATAAAAATCATTATAAACTTGAGATAAACTATAAAAGAATAATTATGCTGAAAAGTTAGGTTTCCATACATCGAGAACTACGACTAATGCATATTGATGGAAATTTCCATCATAAACAAAAAGACCCAGAATACAACTAAAAACTATGATTCTTCTAAAACAAATTGCCTAGGTATTGAAAACTTACCTTATTTTATGAAATAATAATTTTTTCAATAATTACTTGTTCGTATAAGTTCACAAAATAACAATCAGAAACACCACAAAACACAAGTAGTTATCGTTTCACTTGAACAGATGATTGACCATGACAGTTGACATTGACAGTTTTTTTTTCGTTCAAAAATGTTGCCTAAACATCGATGTTCATATACATGTCCGTAAATAAATTCATTCGGATCACAGACTAAAAATAAAGACAAAAATTCTTAACGATGGAAATTTCCATCACTATGAAATTAAGGGTTAAACAGTCTAATTTTACAGATTTTACCCAACCTATAGAGTTAAACCGTTTTAAGGGTTAGGGTTGAACTACATCTGGCAGCATGAAATTGCACTTTCCTGTCCTTCTATCCTTTTTGGTCACTCAGAACCGTTATAGTAGTAACCGGTATATTCCACCCTCAAAAAGCCGATTGTAAACCGGTTTTGAAAGTTTATCTATCATTCTTGACAATTCATACTAATATAATATTATACATGTGAAAGTGTGATTTTTTTCTTTATTTGGTTTTGTCCTTCCTTCACGCAGCAACGGAACGGAGCAATTTAAAAAAATTAAACATTTTGCTATCTCTTGGCTGAAGTTTACGCTTAACCAAACTTACTTTTTTTCGTCATTTTACTTAGGATTGAAAAATAATTTAATGTCTTCGTAAAAAGCGGCAATATTTTGTGTTCTACAGAACAAAAGTGTAGTACTCTGTATATATTTAGTAATAATAGATTATAAATATATGTTACAAACATAAATGTCTACTGTGCTTTTTTATTTATTTTAACTGTTACATTAATTATAGGTTTTATTACATCTTCAATATTTTAGTGCGATGTTCGTACCTACATAAAACAACATAAGCAACCATATCCCCATACACACACTTACACAAATGCACACGCCACGCACACACATTTTATACTCTTAGAATCAATAGGTACGTCAATAGGAATGAAATATAAAATCTCCCAAATTTTTTGGGTAATCGATTCGCACTGTTATTACCGAAGTCACGCACATTAATGAAGCCATGGTGCGTAAGATATGCGCGTCACGTGGTACTCACGCACACATGAATCAAAGACTGTCTTCACTATGAACGTTGCGGTGTGTTAGCAACACGGTATCTGGACCTATAAAACATCTTTGTGCAAATTATTGTTCCTGCTTCTTTTACACTAAATTTGATTATTATTCCTCAAGCTTATCGTGGGTATAACACCAAAAACTTTCTTAAAGACGTGTGACAGCATGTGTTCAGCTGTGATAAGTTTATAACGTTTCGTCGCGCACGTCGATTTTGAGTGCATAATATCAACTTCTACGTGATATAAAAATTAAGTTATTTTAACTGCAATTTTATATTAAAAATTTAGTGAAAATCGCGCGCTCTACTTTTTTTCGTGTATAAAACGGTGGGTTGGCTAAGGCATTTCGGGTTTCGGTTTAAACCCCCAAAAAAGCCCCACCCCCTGTCTACAACTTTGTGCTAGGGCAAACTGAAAATTCTGCGCTCATAGCTGCTCATAAATGAATGAATTTCGAATGTTTTATTTTTTTATGATGATGATGATGATTGGATAAAATATGTTTTTGGTTCTGGCGAAAACTCCCAAAAACTTCCTATTATTGAATAATTTAAGAAAGTCACGTACGAATTGTTTTTAACACAAGAAGAAGTAGGCATTTAATAACTCTGGTTGGTATTTTAATAACTCCGTCAGGCCAAGGTCAGTAATCAACCGACGGTGTCTAATTATTTTTGTTTGTATAAAACATTCTTGATTCGGGTTCTCAAAACATTCGGCTATCAAATGTAATTTTACACCAAACAAATAGGTAGAAAAAAATTCGTCAAGCTTAGCGTAGGTCGTAGAAAAATATGGTTGTAGATTTACATCATCAGTTTATAACTAAAATCTTTGTATATAAAAATTACGTGTCACGTTGTTTGTCCGCGATGGACTCTTAAAACTGAACTGATTTCAATAAAATTTTGCACACTGCGTCCAGTTTGGTCCAACTTGAGAGATAGGATAGTTTTTATCCCGATAAATGACCCTCCATGTCTACAATCAAAGCCCTCAACATTTTTTATTAGGAATTTAATGATTTTTTATAGGACAACAGGTCGTCGGAGAGAGCGGAACAACGTCTGCCTGGCGAACTAGTGTCATATACCTATTTTGTTAAGATTTTTTAACCAAATATAAATTAATAATGTAATCTTGTTTACTTGGTAAATTATAAAAGAAACTCAAAAGCAGCTCGGGGGTAGTACGAAATAATTTGTAACCTTTTCATTTGTAACTTCCATGTCAATCATATTTTTTCATTTATTTATTTTCTAATTATAAGTTTATAGAACTAAAATAATCATTAAGAACGAAATTAAATTATAAAATTGTAAATAATGGGCAATATTTCATTATAACTACTTCTAAACATACACTTAAACTAAATTTCTCCTTTCTTATAGATATTCGATTTCATTATTGTTGTAATTAAAAATGAAGGTAAATATAACGTAGTATCATTTTGCTTATTAATTTTAGGTAAGTGTTCTTTTACAAAAATATGAAATTATCAACAATTATTAAAATATCGAATTTTTTGTATGATGTTCAAATGAGTTCTAGAGAAACAACGTTTGCAAGACATTCGTCGATTGAAAAATTATATCAATTAGGTATAAAGTGTTTGTTGTAATTGTAATAGTGATAAGCAAAAAATGTTAGAGGGCAAAAATAGACGAACATTTTTTTTAACCCTTAAATTGGCAAACTTCATGATGTCATTATTTTTATATTTCTGTCATATATTTGGGTTGATAGGTGCTAAATAGACAACTAAAAAATAAATAAAAAAATCTCCTATATTTAGTTTTGTTTTTATACCATGTATCTAATAATGTACACGACCAAGTAGCCAGACATTCACCTTTGAAAATCTATGTGCACTATGGGATACATTGCTGGGTGGTTAGTAAATAAAAATATTTTAGTTTTATAGAATATTTTTTATATTTGCTGTTTTAATCATATAATATCTATATAAAAATATTTAAAATCACAGTCTTCAACTCAAAGTAGGAACATAGCTTCAACTTCTTTATTATAATTGACTTTTTGACCACCACTGTCACACAGATATCACATCAAATACCTGTAGTTAATTACAAAATAAAAATAATAAAGCGTAATAATATCACAACATTATAACACAATGCAGTATTATAATCTATGAGATCAATCAATAAATTTAAATATAAAAAGACACATGAAAATAAAAAATGTAAGTGACTACAACTGTAAGTTGGTCATAAGTATTACCAAATTACTATTTTGGATAATTACATTATTTCTGGTGGTAATAATAAAAACAATTACGATCTTCAACTAAACAAAGCCTCACTTGGCATTTATTACAGATAAATTTAGTTTGACCCTTAACACAAAGCTTACATCGCCCTTTGGATGTAAATGATGGCATGTGACCCATTTGATCGTAACGCATGTCCATCTGGTTTTCAGGAGTCACAAATTTTTTTGCCTCTGTGTTCTTACTATGAACAACTCGGTCCACAGTAGTGAGGCTGTCAGCTATCGCGCATCTGAATTCTTTGAGCTTTATGGGTTTTGGACATTTAGTTTCTCGTCGATACATGAGCCAAGCGTTGTTGATACAGATGTCAAGCATTTGTGAGAAAAGAGGTATGTACCATCTATGCGCTCTCATTTCAGTGCGATAAAGTGCAATCAGCATGTCCGCCAGGTCCACACCTCCCATATGGGCATTGTATTGCCGAACTATGTTTGGACAGGGCACTGGTTCTTTGCGCTTTTTATCTTTATTGTACCTCAATACATGGTCAACTGGATGAGCATCAGCATAAGAACTAGCTATAGTAAAACATTTATTATCAAACCATTTGACCACAGCTACTTTTCTTTCATTAGAAGTAATTTGTGAAAAAGCTCCGCGGCCTCGTTTTTTCAAAATATTATCAGAAGGAAGCTTTTTGTCTCCTCCACGCAAACGATTTGGTCTCACTGTTCCCAAGGAAAATATCCCGTACTCATTTCTCAGGTGATATACTAATTCTATGGAGGTAAAAAAATTATCAAAATAAATCACTTTACAAGCAGGCTCTTTGATTGTCTTGCTCAAAGCTATGACAACTTTAGCTCCCAATCCCATGCTGTTTTCTTCTGCATTGAATTGATGAAATCGGAAAGTGTCTTCTCCCCCATAAAGCAAAAAATCATACACCATTCCAGATATTCCTGCTCTAACGAATATTTTAAAACCCCATTTTCGAGGCTTATTTTTGATGTACTGCTTGCGGGTACCAGCTCTCGTACCTTTATACGGCACCGTCATTTCGTCCACACTGAAACGGTGTTCCTCTTCAATATTTATGCAATTTTGGCGAATTTTTTCTAACAAAGGTCTTATTTTGTAATAACGATCCCCATCGTCACCTAAAGCATCTGCAAAGTGCAAATATCGTCGGAACAGTTGAAATCTTTTCAGTGTCATGATATCTGCTATTTTGCTGTATCTGAGAGCTTTAGACCAATAATCCGTATAAGCTGGCAAACGTACGACACCCATGATAATATTAATAGCAATAAAATCCTTTGCTTCATCCAAAGTCATATTCATGGGCGTGCCCTTTATTTGCATATGATATAAATTACTTTCTCGAACTATCAATTCAAATATATCCTCTGAAAAAAATTGTTTGAAATATTCCAACGGTGATTTTGTTTCAGAAGATTTGTTGAATATTTTATCACTGATTTCAGCAGAGTATTTAAATCTTGCAGTTGTCCACTTAACTTCAAGCTTTTTTTTCTTAACTATAGTCTTTTTGACTAAGTAAACTCTTTTGCTGGATCGAGTAGCATTTGATGGTGATGGTACGGATAATATATATGTAGAGCTATTGGCCATTGAAGAAATCGGTGAAGGTGTCGCTGGGACTATTACATTGGTTGGAGAAGCAGAAACACTGGACGTAGAAAAATTACTAAACAAACTCACGCGTCTCGTAACATTCGTCGTATTTTCGGCTGGGACTAATACCTCCCTGTAGTCGTTTTCACTTTCCGACAATACGTGCAGATTTTCGAGTGATGATGGCAAAGAAGGTGGTATCGAGCTCTCATCGTTGTCAGAAGCGTGTCCAGTTATTTCACCATCCGATGAGTCACTGCTCTCAATATCCGAACTTGCTCCTGGTTTTGGGACCAGTGCCAATATTCTTTGAGCCCTCGTACCGGCCTAAAAAGTAAACAAACCATTATGTACTGATAAATAAATACGATTACAATAATGTTTCGTACTTGGCAATGTATCTGAAAATGCACACAGTGAAATGAACACTCTAATGTTGTAAGCTTGGCAATGTGTCCTACAATGCACACTCCAAAATTCAGGTCATAATACAGGATCTTGGCGATGTGCATTTTTAGATACATTAACATTGACAGTAATCTTTGAGATAGAAAATATTATTGTTCGATCAAAATATTTTGCATAACTAAAACAATATACATTCAATTACATAATTATCACATATATCTATCGTAACAACTACATTTTGATAGGATTTTAATCGATTCTTACCTTATAACTCGTAGACACACGCGCATGCTCTGCCATTTTGCAATCTACTAACTTCAAATGTTGCCAGACGTAATAAATAATATTTTTACTGCAGAATAGAAGGATTCCATAAACTAAGTAGAATATAATTTTAGTCTAAATCTGCTTAAATAGTTCCCAATTTTTTTTTTAGAATATGTGCATTATTAGATACGTTATCAAGTTAAGGGTTAAATGAATTCAAATGATTTCTTCGAATTCTTGAATAATTTCTTGAATATCTTCTTAATATAAATTCTTGAATCTAGAATGAATAGAATCTGCATGTCCAACGTCATCCGCCTTATCATCATTATCTACTTCCATCCTTCTCCTTTCGGTCCTCCTTTTCTGAGTTTTCCTATTAGCCATCAATCTCAAAATTTTATCTCGCAAATCCTCAGTCACATCATCATCTGTCACAAATACTTATAAGGCGGTCGCCGCGCCGCCACGGTGAGACGGCAGCACATGAGTAAAGAAACCGACCAGAGGGGAAGCTACATACAAACGGCTCGCTGCGGGTACACTCACACATAGCGCAGCGATGGTGCGTGAGCTCTCACCGACAGGTTCACCGACGCGACGCTCCGTCAGGGTACAAACCGGTTTGCGCCGGCTCAGTCAGTGTGAATGAAAGGGCTGTTGGTGTCAAAAAATGCCACGCGCATTGAAATAAATAGACGAATAATATTTCGTAATTTTATAGATCAATAAATCTATTAATTTTTTTTACAATTAGAGTGAAGTTTAGAGATTGTGAAGGTACTATAAAATTAGACATTACGAGTATAGATTTATAAGTATATATTTATATTAGGTAATTAGTGTTCGTATAAGCTAAATGCCTAAGTTGTACAGTATGTATGAAAAATTCGAGAGAAAATAATACAATAGCTAGACAGTGGTGCAGTTAGTGTTAGTGGTACTGGTGATGGTGATGGTAATGGTGAACGGTGGTGCTGATCGTGCGGTGTTGATAGCGGTGGATGGTGATGCTGTGCGTGCTGAGTATCAATGATTGCGGTGGTGCTGGTAGTATCATTGATGGTGGTGGTGGACAGTGGACCGCACCACCACCACGCCACCGTCATCCTGGTAGTAACATTGGTGGTGGTGGTGTATCAACACCGCCACTGCCCACTACCATCATCACAGTCATTACTAATACTATCTGATTTTTTGTACTCATGAATACGTTGTCTTACGAAAATGATATTGATAGAAATGTATGTATATGTCGCACCTCCGATAAAATAGAGTTACAACTTGGAAACCCTGGATTTTAAGAAAAGCGAAAATAAACTCATGGATTCGTTATACAGTCTTTATTCTTGTAGTATTAGTATAAAGTGATACAAATTATATATAATTGAAAAGCTTGCAAAAAATATGTTTAAATTACATAATCTATTTTTCAAATTTCCTGAAATATTACCTAAATATTCCTAATTGTAACAGTATTTTAGATAACTATTTGAACTTTTACTAACAAAAATATAGTATGACAAATATAACAATTCCTATTATAATAAAAATTAGGCAGTTCTTTAAACTTTTTTCAACTTAACAATATTTATACAGCTGTAGACTTAGTAACAAAATCAACTCTAACATAAATATTCAAAAATTGTAACTAAAACAAAAATGTAAACTATTCTAGGCATCACAATTTTATCGAATCACTTTACAGTACAAGTTCAGGTAGTACTTAATTAAGTTTCAGTCGTCTATTAATTAGGGTGCATAATTATCAAAAAATTACGTGCGAAACGATGTGCTAATTTAAAAATGTGTTTTACAGAAAATAGGACAACAATTAATTCTAGCAAGAACACTACGGAAGTTGAAATACTGTTATCTCCAAGTGAACACTTTAAAAGCTATCCCATGGAGAAAGTTAATTTCGATTTGCCAGATGATCGTCAGACTCAATGTGAAAAAAATGGTAGTATTTTTAACGTGCAATTGATGTAAAAGTTGGCTTTGTTTAGTTGTCATTATAATTGTTGATTCGGTTTTACATTTACAGATATAACAATAAGTAATTCTGCATTTATATATAATTTCTGCATTACAATACTGAAGTGATACCATCTACAAGTTCAATAGAAGTTAAAGACCAAAGTTCCAAGCATATCGGTAAACCTATTGATGACTCGTCAACCGATTGTTCTTCAGATACAGAAAGTACATGTTCCTCAGACACTTCTAGTTCAACTTCAATTAAGAATAGTGATGATTCGGTGAAAGATCCAGATTTTCAAATTGAGCAACGTCGTTCCATTAAAATCTCTGACAATTCCGAAACTGAAGACAACGTTGGTCACGGGTGATTCGTAATCGAGGATAAATGTAAATGTCTATGGGCCACAGCAACCACTTACCATCAGGTGGACTGTGTGCTCGTTTGTTACCCTTATCCTATAAAAAAAAACCAAGCTAACTTCGAAACTACACCCGCAGCTATATCTTCAGTATCAACATTGTACTCAAGCCTAGATGATCCGCCAATACCAGACACGAAAAACGAAGCAGAAAACGTGTAGCTAAACCAACTGAATGGTTACTAAAATAAATGTAAAATCCTCAGAAATGCAGAATCTGCTTACGTAACACTTAAAAACAAAGGTGAAGAAGGATGCTAGAAAAATTAAACCACCGTGTAGCAAACGCTGTCGGTTAAAGTGCAAAAAAATGTCAGAAGTAGATAGAGAAGCTGTTTTTAAAGAATTGTGGGAACTTTAAAATATTAACCGCCAAAGAGATTTTATCAGCAGGCATATGGCGCCAATAAAACGAAATAGTCGTTCTGACTTTATATCCCTGAAGAAGTTACATGTAGAATTACGCTTTAGTACGGGTAACATTAAATTGAAAGACGTCAGAGTCGTTAAATTCATGAAAGAAACACCTTGTGCTCTTTATTACAAGAACTCTTATGAAGACGAAGGATTTTCGGAAGCTAAATTTCTGGTTCTGGAGGTTCTGCCTGGACTAAAACCTGCTTACATCAGACAGCTCTCAATAAGCGAGAGGAAGAAAACTGATTTGATGAGTTTGATTAATAGTATATATTTTTTTATATATATTTTTTCAAGCTTCTGGACTGGAAAGGATACGGTATCAACATCAATGGCGAGTACATCACTCACCTTCGATTTGCCGACGATATAGTCCTTATGGCAGAATCGCTGGAGGACCTAAGCACTATGCTCAATGACCTCAATAGTGTTTCCCAACGGATAGGTCTTAAGATGAACATGGACAAAACTAAGATCATGTTTAATGTCCATGTCACACCTATGCCGGTAGTTGTTGGGAACACTAAGCTCGAAGTTGTTGACGAGTATGTTTACCTGGGACAAATAGTCCGACTGGGTACGGATTCAACTCGGCTGGGCAGCGTTCGGGAAGCTACGACATATCTTCTCGTCAGATATACCTCAAAACCTTAAAACGAAATTGTACAACCAGTGCGTGTTGCCAGTGATGACTTACGGAACTGAGACGTGGTCCTTCACTGCTGGCCGTATGAGGAAGCTCAAGGTCGCTCAGCGGGCTATGCTCGGAGTTTCTCTGCGTGATAAACTTAGGAATGAGGATATCCGCAGTAGAACCAGAGTGACCGACATAGCCCAACGGATTAGTAAGCTGAAGTGGCAGTGGGCCGGCCATATAGCTCGAAGAACCGACAACCGATGGGAAGAAAGGTTCTCGAGTGGCAGCCTCGTACCGGTAGGCGAAGTGTAGGGCGTCCCCCCACGAGATGGAGTGACGACCTGGTAAGACATGCAGGAAGTCGATGGATGCAGGTGGCTCAGGACCGTGTTTTGTGGCATTCTTTGGGGGAGGCCTATGTTCAGCAGTGGACTTGTGAAGGGCTGTAATGATGATGATGATGATGATTAATAGTAATCATATACCACAGTTTTATGCCCCTTTTTACAACCGTACCTATGATGAAATTCACTTGTTTACATAAAGTTAGGCGCTTCAATTAGTTCGTTATACAAATGCTACTAACTTTTAGAATGACAAAAATAACCTGATAAAAACAGGTAGGTAAGGTAAGTAGGTAAGTATAGTAGGCATCTTACCTTGCAAGTTTGTTCCTCCAATCTTTTGATGATAATCGGCGGGTATATTTCTTTTATCCTTTAGAGCTAAATGCAGAAATACGTCATTAAGTTTAATTTTGACCCTAGAATCATAAATCAGATTCACAGCAAATATTTCGAAAATACCTAAACTTTGTTATAAAACAACGTTACAAATTGAAATATTCAGAAAAAAATATAAATTTTTCTACAAATACTGTTACAACAAGAAAAGTAAAACAATATTACAATAAATCGCATCCAAAATACTGACACAATACAAAATATATCACTTTATTATAGAAATATTGAGTTAGTTTGATTCAATTCTTTAACAATAAACTGTAATAATTCGACTTGTAACTGTTCATTAGATAAATTGATGTGAGTAAAAATATTTTACTCGTCTAAAACACTGTTGTATTTTGATTTGTAACACTTCTTGTCTCAACAAAAGCACGTCTACCTTTTATAACACTAAATGTAACACTAATAGAGATCATTCTGGAGTCAAAATGCTATAGTCATGTACTGTTACAACTTCATCTAACGGCGAGTTTTAGAGTTACATATCGTCGTTGCGCGTGCAAAACCGCGGAAGAGCAGTTTGTAAATACCGCGTATCTACATTTTTAGAATTTTACAGGAAGAAGAAAAACTTAATAACTTGGTAATTTATAATTATATTACCGACTGAACTTTATAGCAGCTTCTTTGTTACTTATTTTATAGAAATTTAACGTAAATGTACTAGAAACTTGTTTAGATTTCGTGTAAAGTCACTTACGCGGTTTTGTACCAGCAAATTACATTTAAATACTATACTTTTAGGAGATACGCGGGCTTAAAATAAAATACATAATATTATATTATTAATTTGAATTTATTATGATATATTATAGTAGAAAAAAACATACAAAATTATACATCTTCTTAGAAAAAAAAACAATAACTCTTACTCTAGATATCAATTTAATCACACAATCCCTGAATTTCTCTAATTACAATAAAACAATTACGTTCACTTAATTAAGAATAATAAACTAATCAGCCTCCTCGATCTTCTAAAATCCCAGCATTTCAATCTTTGTTAATTAGTTTCTTGGACGAATACGATTTTTTTTTATTAAAAGCTTTAACAATTAAATATGGCAATCATTACACCTGGATGCTCTTATATTCTTATTATCTTAGACGTAGAAGTACTTCTATTATCTTAGTTCTTAAATTCTCATTAAAAGATTAATAATCACAGCATTTAAGATCTTGGTTATTAGGAATATTATTTAAAAGGTAAATTATCGTAAAAACTATGACAGTCTTTAGGTATGACACTCTTCAATTCCTGTAGGTGATCATACTTTGTTTTGGATATTGGTTGTCTGGATTCATACAATGGACCTACGCAATCAATTAAAGAGTCAGATAATATCTTTTTTGGTCTCCTAGGTAAAGGAACAAAATCGTCTACAAAGTGGAGTTTAAAATCAATTGTCCCACTAGGACTGTATCTTAGGGCCCTTATGTCCATGACGACACGATCACCCGCCCCACGACCAGGTCTTATTGAATCATAAATGAGGTGATCTTTATGAGCAAAGTTTTTAAAAAATGTATGATCAGGAGTAATAACCTGGTAAGGACTCGGCACTTTTCTGGCCTCCTTCGTGATTGTTGCGTATTGTGAGGGTAGAAATATTTCTCGATTTTTCAATTTTCTTTCGATCACCGAGTGCACCGAATCGACTTCCATCTGAGTGTGGCCCTTTTCCAAGTATTTTTGAGTTATAACTATGTTCTTGGCCATGGCCAAACGCAACAACGCATTCGACACAATATTATTTCTATTCTGGGCTGTGCAGCCATCTGTGAACAATACTACATCCTTTGGATCATTTTCCAGTAATTTAGTTAAATAATCTACAAGAAATGATGCGTATGTAGTAGCTTTTAAGTCGCATGCCGTC